ATATCCCTTCTCCAAAATAACTTCCAAGCAGCACAAACAAACAAGGATAAGAAGCTCCTCATCTTTCCCTTCAAATGATCAATGACAAGAGAAATTAATTGAGAGGAATCAAGCTTTTTTTACATGTAGAAGTGAAATTCTAAAGCTGAAGGCTATTCAGGAAAGCTTGGCAAGTTTGAGGATTCAGGCCAGGTGGATTCCTAAGAAGATCAATACCATAGCCGATGGTCTTGATGGAAAAGGCCTTTTTGCATGGTGGCAGCTCCTTTTCTTCAATTGGTACCTGACAAGTTTTACTGATTATAATTGAAAAAATAAATAAATAAAGAGAAAAAGAGAGTAAAATACATACATAAGTACCCAGCACTCCATAATTTGGCTATCCTATGCTAGCCCCCTCATTGCATTTTGCATTGTTACATGTCCTTTATTTGATAAATTGTGCCCGAAACAAATTTTCTTAGTAGCTCCCTGTTTGGCCAATCTAACAGCCACAGAATTGGCTGATCTTGCAGTCCAGCTGTACCCAACATGCATCACCCTTGCCAATTCTCTCATCTCTACTTAGCTTTTTGTAGTAGGGAGTTGCATGTACATATTTTGTGCATCAGTGTGCATCCTCATCCTAAATATATTTTTTGAGAGAAGATAAAGACACATCCAATCAGCATCATCATGATGTCCAAGAGAGGGAACCAGTTGATTTGGTGTGTCCTAAGACTGTTTCAGCACCAAAGACGGCTCTGATCATGCAAGAGGAAGGTGATGGTGGCCCAGAAAACTCAGAGGAGGTAACCAATATAAGCCCTACTGCAATGATGCCAGCGAGTGATTGACCAACAGTAGGGGAGGCGTCAACCTTAACTTTGAGGAAAATGCATCTCAACGGAAGGATGGGGTTTGTATCGGATGGAAGGAGTCATGATGCTGAACCTTCTATTTGGGTTCTTTCAAAATGTATGGAGTTTGGCGCCTTACTGGGTGTGCCATTAAAGGGTATGGAAGAGATAACAAAGGCAGGTGGAGAGTAGAGTGCCTGAAGAGAAAGGAAGGAAATGTAGAAGAACAGAGAGGTTTTAACTTGGCCAACATATGCTACCTCTGTGAGAATGCTGAGGAGAATGTGCTTCATTTTCTGGTTGAGTACCTTTTCTCCAAGTTCATATGGGGTTTTTTCTTTAGGCTATTCAAAGTGGGTGGATGGTCTCCCAATTCGGCGGAGGAAATTTTCTCTAAATGGCCTAAGATAGCTGGGATTGACAAGGCAAATATCACTTGGAGTCGTATTCCTTTTGCAGTCTGTTGAGAGCTTTGGAAAGAAAAACAGGAGAGTTTTTTTATGGGAAAGCTTGATCACGAGATCACATAACACTCCTATGTGGCAAACGAGTCATGGATTGGATCCTGGTTCTCCTAGAGTTCGAAGGAATCACAAAGGAAGATCTTGGTGCTGGATTCTGGAGTACCTTGCATCTGGCATGGTGTGTTTTGTTTTTTCTTTGTTGTATGTATGGCCTATGCTTATTGTATCATCTTTGTATTTTTTCCTCTTTTGCTCCTCTCTGTAGGGTTCTCTAGTGATATCACATCCCTTCCAGATGTACTGCTTTTTATTTTAATAAATTCTCTTTTTATTGATTACCAAAAAAAGATGTTTTACACAGGGACTATACAAAAGCTGCCCTTGCAGCACTATACCCCCAAACCCTGCTTTACAAGAAGATTATTATAAACAAAAAGGGAATTATTAAACAATTTATGTGTAGCTAGCCAAGAAAATATTTTTCCCAACATCTTCTGGAATACACAATCAATAGGGCTGCTCTTGTTCTATTTTATGGAAATATTTGGTATTAATATTCCCCTCCTTCAACCAAGGACATTTGGACCCCTGTTCCCACTTCATCTCCTCTTGGTAGGCAACCTTGTCATATTCTATTTTAGCATTCAGCCTTCTCCTTTTATCCTCCTGTGAGATTTGYCCCTCCTCTTCAGCCCTACCAATTTCAAGAATGACCTCCATACATATCTGTTTTCTGATCCAGCCACTTGAAAACTTCATTCCTCTTCCTAAATATATAATCATATACATATATAGGTAGTGCTTTCCTTTTTATGATTATTGTTCAAACTATTTTAATGATATAGTTGAACATTTCTTAATTGTAGGCTACTTCAAATTTTCATTAATATTTAGTTAGTTGAAGATTCATGAATGTGTTAGGTATTTCTAGTTTTAAATTACTATGTTTCATTGGCATAAACTTAAAAGCAGTTGATCCCATATGGTTGGAATAAGGCTTAGATGATAATGATGATTCACATAAACTTAAAAAGAACAGCAAATATTTTCTTTGGATAGCAACTAGCAAGAACTGTATGTGTCTGTGTGTAGGTAATAAAACAAGAGCTGTATAAATTTTTGCAAATAAGAATCATTGAACACGTATGTTACATATTAGATGACTTATTCATTCTTTTCTTTTGATCAGTAACAAATGAGAACAAATTTTCTAGAATGAGCAAATCATAAAAGAAAGGATGAGGACATAATGCTACCCTCCCTAAAACAGATAATACGAGAGATAGCCCACCTTGTGCCAACTACCTCATAACATTGGTCGATATGTCGCTAAAGGTGCAACTTGGGTGGGCCCAACCTGACCAAACCAGAGTTTCGGGTTGAGACTGACTTTTCAGGCTGCAGGGTGGGCCTGGACAAGAAAACTCTAGCCTGACCTAAATTTGGTTGGGATTTTTATATTTATATCAAAATATCTTTTTTCACTTGAAGTTACTGCTGTTAACAGAACTTTTAGGTTGAAAAATAACCTAGAAATCGAAAGAGAAGAAGAGAGAAGAAGAGAGAAGAAAAGAGAAGAAGAATAGTAGAGGAATGGGGGCAGAATGTTCTATTACTGCCGCCCTAAGCAGTATTATTTATATGTGTTTAACATAACATTAGGTAAAAGGACAAAAATGCCCTGCTACCTATAACAGTACAAGAAAGCAAGCATAAAGCAAAAATAAGCAACAAAAAACTGAACTTATGGGACCACAAGTAAATATATCAGGTCTGATCCACTGTATCACTACATTCTAATTATATAAACATGGTGTATATGTATAAAATATGTATATATGTACATTTGCAAATGAAACTTGTTCATGTTTTCAATCAATTCTACTCTTAAATTGGGCCATAAATCCCAATAAAATATGGTGCCATATGAAAATATATATACATAAATTCTTCCAAGCCCAACCAACCTGCCCAAGATCAACTAAGCCCAGCCCGACCCAAACCCAGCCTGAGTTATGTTGGGTTAGGCTCGGGTTGGGCCTGGGTTGATAAAATTAGGATTAACCTCGGGTTGAGCGCCTGGGCCTGGGTTGACCATCAACTCGACCCAACCCACCAAGTTGCACCCCTAATTGTCGCCTCTTTTGAGCTACCACCATGACCAACTTTGGAAAGGACTGCTTGAAAGGCCTATTCCCCAACCACACATCAGTTCTCAAACTTTGATGTACAAAAAACACACGAGACAGTGAAATTTTACAAGTTTTCTCCATTGAAAACATACTACATATGATTCATCTAAAAAAACTTATTAGTTATTACATATGCCAACCTTCTTCTGACCACCTTCCAACAGAAAGTTTGATTTAAGGTAGGACAAGGTTTTTCGTGGGACCTTCCATGGGATCTCAAAGGGATGACCTCTATTGCAACAAAAACCTACAAAGCCTTCAGGTAGCCCAAATTTCTCAAAGGGATCTCCCGTTGTCTTGACTACGGGAACAAGAACCTATCCTAAGGACACCTAAGAGAAACATGACATCCTGACTCTGATGGTCTCATGGTCATAAATCCCCCCAAGAAACTCTAAATTCCAAAACCCAAAATATTACTCCATGAGAAATTTTAAACTCTTTCTTTTAATCAGTAAGAAAAAAATATTGTCCTCTGAATAGAGAAAATAGAATACAGTCTATAAAAATATCAAGCATTAGGGAAAAAGACCCCACTATAAACCATCCCAGAATCCTATGATCTAAATAATAAATTGACAATCCAAAACCTCAGTCTGGCAAACTGTAACCCGACATGTTCCTTTTACTAAATTTTCTTGGGATTATTGCAGAGGGCAACTTTTGGGCCCTAATATCAATAAAAGTAATATTTAAAAAATCAAAAATGAGTTAACTTTTTAAAAATAATATCAATTAAGGGTAAAACACTGTTCATCTTCTTCCTCTTGCAATCCATTCATCAGCGTCGCCTCCGGCAACGCCTCCGCCTATCTCCGCCACCGCCTCCGGCAACACTGCCAGAGGTGGGTGGAGGCAGAGGCGGCAGGAGCACTGGTGGTCATTCCTCTGCCCAACGCCGCCACCGCCACCCACCTCCRCCTCAGAGGCAGCTGTGGCGGCGCTGGTGGGCGGAGGCGGCAGCGTTGAGCAGAGAAATGACCACCAGTGCCGCCGCCGCGGCCTCTACCTCCACCCACCTCCGGCAACGTTGCCGGAGGCAGAGGCGGAGGTGGGCGGAGGCGTTGCCGGAGGCAGAGGCGGAGGTGGGCGGAGGCGTTGCCGGAGGCGGTGATGGGCGGCAGCGCTGATGAATGGATTGCAAGAGGAAGAAGATGAACAGTGTTTTTGCCCTTAATTGATATTATTTTTAAAAAGTTAACCTATTTTTGAATTTTTTTTTAAAGTATTACTTTTATTGATATTAAGGCCCTAAAGTTGCCTTTATCTGTTATAATCCCAATTTTCTTTCCATGCAAGTTTTGACTTTCCAAAGTAAGACTTCTACAAATACCAACAACAAACACTTGGTATGTCTCTCTCATGTTACAATAAAAGGATAAGAAGTATATAACTCCCTCAAATGAAAACTATAAATATAAATATAAAACTAGTTTGTTAAACAGGAGTACAAATTCTGAAGTGAACAATAGATGCTAAATATCACAGTTACCAGAAATGCTTACCACGTAGCTTGGACTTAAATCCACAATTTGTCAAATGTTTTGCAAGGGTCTCCCCTAACTGTTGTTGCCAGTTCTGTGTAACCTTGACTGCAGCAACAGGCCACACAATTGCTGTCTCTGTAGCAAGATTGACATTGGCAGAAGACACCTGTGGCTGGTCATATGTATAATACCTGGCTATGTTATACTTGTAGTACAGAAAAAGAGATGTTTTTCCCATAAAAATGAACTAAAACTTTAGCATGAAAACAATGGATACAATATTCATAGTCTCAGAGTCTATTTTGAAGCACCAGAAACGTATTTTGAAGCACCAGCATGGTAATTATGCAAGTTCAAGTACTATAGCTTCCAAATAAAGTGACTAAAGATCAGAAATATCTTTGGCCTTTGAAAGGATCCATACTAAGAGAACTTTGGAGATGGTTATTAGCTAGGTGAAAGATAAGCCTTTGGGCTCATTAAGGCCCAGTCACGCCCTTAGAGAAGTGAGATCCCTGGCTTCCATGCTGAACCCCTTATTTACCGGGTACCAAAAAAGACAAATTTGTTTGCTTATCCTCTTTCTAGATAGGTGTAGAAGTCACTTGTATAAATTAGATACTTTATTGGCAGGGTTCCTCTGTATTAATGTATGGTAGTGGCCTCATTTCTCATGGGACTCACACGGGAAGTCTTTGGCATCTAAAGTAAACCCCTTGTTCCAGTGCATTCCTAGATTATCTAACCCAATGGAAGATATGTCCCTTTTTTTGAAAAAGGTACAGTATGAAATTCATTATTATAACTAATCAGAAATTACGAAGTATAACCCCCTGTACACAGGTTCTGTACATCTGTGAAAGTATATTTTATACATTTTGTATAAAATACAAGTTCTTGACAAGTCCTATTGGGACAACTGATTACCAAATAGAAAGTATATTTTATACATTTTGTAGGGGGACCTAAACAAAGCACACAGCTGTAACTCCTTTTACTGTTGTTTTCTTTACTATTGTTACTTCTACCATACATACCCAAAGAAGGAAAGATTCATAATGGATGTGAACTACAAAGTATCTTTGATTGCTTAAATAAGAAGTTACACCCTCATTATACTTTTATTCGGGACATCATTTTAAGAATTACAATAGAATCCCCATTTCATTTTTCTTTCTTTTTTTATATTTCTTGAGAGATTGCAAGGTGGGTTGGAACATTAAGAAAGAAATGGACATGTAAATGAAACATCTTGGACCCATTCACAGGAGTTTAACTGAGTTTGAGGAACAGTGTGATCTTCTGAATGAAATGGATTGGACAGAGCCCAAAGGTCCTAATATTAAGAAGTTTTAAGGCATAAGATGATGAATTTTGTGTTCAGTTAGGAAGCATGATTGTGGAGGGATGCACGCATAATAATAAGCCATTCTTCCCCTGTTGGAAGAAATAGACTCTAGCTCTAGCAATATCTATATTTTGGCAGTTCTGTAAACCCAGTTTGCATGAATAAGAGCACAACCAACAATGAGTAAAAGTCACCTCTAAATGAGCTTCCTAGACCAGTTAGTGTCAGAAGCATTGGTTTGATTACAAAGATCTTTACATTTCTAAATTTTCTCAAATGAGATCCTCTTGAAAGTAAATAAGCTTCAAGAATTGCCCTATAACCAGGTAGATTAGTTAAAACTACTTACTAAAGACAACAGTCTTTGATATTAGATATTTTATTCTATTTCAGGTGATGCTGCTTATTACAGTAGTTAGAGTTTATTATGGTATGTTATATGATTTTGTTGAGTTAGTTATCACAAGTCACAAGTGGTCCCACTTGTATAAGTGAAAGTACCTTCAAGAAGTTTCCTGTATTCCTACATTGTATCTATTTAAGGCTATGAATGAAAAAGTTCTTCATTGCGCTTTTCCATTTTAGATGGTGTCAGAGCACTAGGATCTTTTTCCGTACTTCAGTCTATTGTTGAAGCTTCCATTCTGCAACAATGAAGAAGAAGACAGGTTTCATCGATGAATAAATTCCAGAACCAGATCTGTCAAAAGACTTCTGAACTTCTTGCCTGGTCCAAGTGCAGATCCATGGTAATTTCATGGATCATCATACTAGCCAAAGATCTGGATGAGAGCGTTGCATACGTTGACAATGCTCAAGATGTACGGCAATACCATGCAGAGAGATACTCACAAGGCAATGCACCTCAAGTGATTCATCTGAAATGAGAATTAGTTCTACTACGCCAAGAAAACTTCTCTGTTGTTGTTTACTACACCAAGACAAAGAGTCTTATGGGATGAGATCGCAGTATACTTTCTTCTCCTGCTCTCTTTTTCTCTCTTGTTTCTTCTCTTGGGGCTCATAATGTAGTTGGAAGATAAGAAAGTTTGTCTTCCTCCCTGTAATTATTGTGATAATTAATGAATTGTTTTATTAATCAAAAAAATGAGATCCCAGTATACTAAGTTACTAACGACTCTGATGTGCTCCTGGCAGTGTCATGAAGGATTTCTTGATCGAAAAAGAAAAAGAGCAAGTCTATCAGTTTCTTTTGGGGCTCAGTGACTGATTTAACACTATCAGATCAAGCGTACTAAGTATGAAGCCTTACTTGACTATTAACAAGGCTTATGCACTGGTTTCTCAGGAAGAAAAATACATTTCCTTGGTCAGTAATCACCTCCCTGCTGTCAAGAGTGCAACTTTTCAAGTAAGTAGACGTGCTTCGAAGGGAAACTCCACGTAGAAGAAAGATCAATCTCGCCTCACTATGACCCCTGTAAGAAGGTAGGGCACACCAAGGCTCGCTGTTACAAGAACATAGGCTATCCACCAGATTGGAAAGCCAAGGGAAGAACTGGAGGCAACAATACTTCCAACAAGAAAAGCTCCTCAAACCAAGCTGCTATGGCACCTGCAGATGGTGAGAGTTCTCCCTTTATTTCTTTATTTCTTTTTTTTTGATCAGCAAAGAAATCTTATTGATTAAGAGGTGAAAACTGAATGGTACAGCATATTGGTTTCAGCCCTCCGATGAGACATTAGCCCACCTCAATGAAGGTTACAATAGTACCCAAAAACAATTTCTGTCTAGTTTTTCTAGAAGTTACAGTAGTGCCCAAAACATCTCTCTATAGACCCCTTGTTTTGTATCCCATTTGCAGTCCTTCTTACCCAATTGAATGCAACATTCATCTCCAGTGACAGGTTTTCTATTTCCCTAAAAGCGTGTATATAGATCCATGGCACTTGATGCTTACTTCTTGCCCAAGAAAAACCAGTTTTGAGTCTCCTTCTACTTCTGAATGTTGGAAATTTGATTGCTTTGTGAATCTTAATCCTTGCAGCAATGCCATCAGTTCAGCCTTTAATGAGTCTCCCAACCATAACAGTCCCCAACACCCTACCTGCACCATCTCTGAAAACACCTCCCAGTTCAACCTTTAATGAGTCTCCCAATCCTAACAGTCCCAAACACATGCCCAACACCCTACCTGCACCATCTCTAAAGACACCTCGAATACCTGCCAAACCGAAACTTCCCATGGAGCTTCCATCAAAATTTAATTTAATTCTGTTAACTACTGGGGGTTTCCACTCCATAAACACCTTTTACTTTTCTGTAGAAGTATGAACCACTTCATTCCATGCCCTTAACATATCATCCACTAAATAGCCTTGGAACATATCAAGGTTATTCTCCCACCCACTGAAGTGTAATTCCTTTTCCATAGCGCTAGTCTTTTAGTGAGTCTCTTATCTCTCAAGTACCGGTTTCCAAAAACTTTCTATTCTTGGGTTTCCATAGAGCTCTCCCATTGTTGGACCGACGACTGAACAATACCGCTAGTAAGATATCTGAATCTCAGCTACCTATTAATTTGAGATCCTGGCTCCTTGACAATGGAGCTTCAAAACATATGACCCACATGCCCTCCAATACATCCCATCCTGTTCAATTACCTAATGGGGCACTCTTACCTGTTGCCTCTAAAGGCGAGATGACCCTGTCTCCCGACTTGACCCTAAAAGATGTATTTTACATACATGACTTCCATCGCAATTTGATATCAGTCTACAAACTTACCTCAAGGATGAATTGTGCCATCTTGTTCTTTCCCACCTGCGTTTTGCAGGACCTCACAACTAGAAATCTGATTTGAGTGGGTACAGTGTGTAATGGACTCACTTTACACCTCCTGCAACATCCATGGCTCTTCATTCCACTTCAATCAGTTCACAAAATTGCCATTCCAAGCTAGGACATGCCTCATATAGATGGCTCTCTATGATACCCAGCTTAGATATTGTGTCACCCAATAATGAATGTTGTGATACTGGTTTTTGAGCCAAACAAACTAGGCTTCATTTTCCTACTAGTCAAACCAGAACTTCTTTGTTTGAAATAATACATTGCGACATATTGGGGGGAGGGGGGGCTATCACACCCCATCCCATAGCGGAGCTCATTATTTTCTAACAATTATTGATGATTTTTCTCAGGCTACATGGGTGTACTTACTTAAACACAAATCAGTTGCCTATTTGGCTACTCCTACTTCATTATGTTTTGTGCTCTTGTTTAAAATCAAATTAATACAACTGTCAAATGCATGAGGTCCAATAATGGCACCGAATTTCTGTATGGGCCTATGATGATATACTTGCAACAGCATGGCATTGATCATCAGAGATCATCTATTGAAACCCCCAACAGAATCAGGTGGCTGAGCGAAAGCACAAACACCTTCTCAAAGTAGGGCCTCCAGTTTTAGGCACATATCCCTATCGAATTTTGGGGTGAATTTATTCTTACTGCAGCTCATATCATCATTTATCTGCCAACTCCCACTCTTTCAGGCAAAACGCCTTATGAGGTGCTCTTCCAAAAGTCCTTCATATGCCCATTTGCAGGACTTTGGGCTTTTAAGTTTGCTTCTCATTCCATCGAGCGTATGTTTGTTAGATACCCCATGGATAGAAGGGTTACCGGTTGTACAACTTGAGTCCAAGCATTTTTTTGTCTCCAAAGACAGTCTTCTTCGAGGATTGGTTCCCTTTCATCCCTAAAGACTCTACGACCGTTGATATTCCTCTAGCCCCGTTGTTCATCTGTCGGCCCTAGAATCTATAATTGACTCTTATGATGGTTGTGGCCCGTTCATGTCCATGCCTGTGATGGGCCAAAGCCATTGCCCATATCTAGGTCAATACCAATGCCCATGCTTGGGTAAGTGTCACCGCCCGTGCCTAGACCAACATCAACACCCGTGCCACTTGCTCCATCAGTCGTGCCTAGGTCAATACCCTTGCCAATGCCTAGGCCAGTGTCATCTTCCGAGCAACTCGTGCCTAGGCCAAAGTCAACACATGAGTCATTCCCCGCACCTATGTCTCAACCATCACCTAGGACACCAAACCACTTGCTCTCTGCTCTCATCTGTGTCTAGGCTAAGGCCAAAGTCATCTCCTAGGTTGGAGACGCCATAGTCAATGCTTGCGTCTGTCTTTGAGCTTCTTGGGCCATTAGCCATTCCCCAGCCCATCTATGAATATCCCAACATCACTTTTGATCATCGCATGTTGCCTTCTTCTTCATGTGTATGGTATCCAATCTCAGATTATTTTGCTCTTGGTTCCTCCATTGCATCTGCAGCCTCCTATATACCCACTGAACCTTCTACTTACGCCTAGGCCCAAAGGCATCGTTGACGGCAAGCCATGCAAGAAAATGTCTCTTGGCCATAGGAAAATGGCTCATTAGGTGCAAATGGGTCTAGAAAACAAAGCTCAAACCCATGGCACCATTGATCATTTCAAGGCATGTTTAGTGGCCAAGGGTACACACAAGTAGGAGTTGTCTCTTGGCCATGTTGTCATGACGTGTTGTCTCTTGGCCATGCAAGAAGAACCAGATGCACTTGAAAGCACTCATACTTGGACTTTAACTACCTTGCCCATAGGCAAATGGCCCATCAGGTGCAAATGGATCTACATGAATCTCAAACCCAAGGAACCATCTACCATTTTAAAGCTTGTTTAATGGCCAAGGGGTACACAATACAAAGACAAACCCATGGAACCATCTACCATTTCAAGGCTTGTTTAGTGGCCAAGGGGTACACAATATAGAGACGTATGCCCCAGTTGCCAAGCTTGTCACGGTGTATTGTCTCTTGCCCTTGGTTGTAGCCCATCGATGGGATGTTCAACAAATGGACATCTCTGCCAAGCCTCTTATCACCTAGTGATCCCCAAGTTTGTCAACTCAACAAGTCTATCCATGGCCTCAAACAGGCCTACCGAAATTGGTTCTATACATTGGCTCACACTCCTAAGAAGCATGGCTTCACCCAATCCATGGAGAATAACTCACTCTTCACCTCAATTGGCTATGACAAAATCTTAGCCATGTTTTTTTTTTGATGAATAACATCTTCGCCATGTTGGCTTATGTTGAGGATCTTTTCATCATGGGAAATTATCCCACACAAATTTCGTCACTCAAACAGTACCTTAGTCACTGCTTCCCAATTAAATAATTTAGACCTTTGTGATATTTTTTTGGGGATAGAGGTTTCCTACCCGATGATAGATTCTTTCTTTGCCAAAAGAAATACACCTTGGACATACTCTGGGATGCTGGCATGACATGTAAACTATGGTCCTTTACAATGGAACAACAGCACCATCTTGGAGTGATGGGCCTCTCCTTGCCAACCTTGATTGCTATTGCTGCCTGCTGGGCCACCTTATCTACCTCATTACTTGGCTCAAGATCATGTATCTAGTAAACATTCTTGGTTAGTTTATGAGCAAGCCCCGGCAGTCTCATATGGATGCTACCTTTCAGGTCCTATGCCATCTGAAGTCCTACCCGGATCAAGGAATCAAGCTGGCCAAAGAAAATGATTTGGTTCTTCATGCCTACAGTAACTTCTATTGGGCTGGATGCCCCTTCACATGCCAGTCCACCACCAGTGAACTTCTTTGGTTGCACCATCTTTTCAGTGAACTAGGTCTCAGTAATGTTCAGCCAATGGAGCTCTATTGTGATAACAAAGCTTCTCTTCACATCACAACCAATTCAGTGTTTCATGAGAGCACAAAACACATTTTAATAGATTGACATTTCATTCGCACTCATCTCTAAATGAGTCTCATTTTCAATTCTCACTTACCTACCAGTTCACTAGACTGTTATCCAATTGGGCATTGTTGACTTGATCGGGGGTCTTACGATAGTTAGAGTTTGTTATGGTTTGTTGTGCCATTCGGTTGAGTTAGTTATCACAAGTCACAAGTGGTCCCACTTGTATAAGTGAGAGCACCTTCAAGAAGTTTCCTACATTGTATCTATTTAAGGCTAGGAATGAAAGTTTTCCACTGTGCTTTTCCATTTTAGAGTGTTGAAATTTTTATAGCATATATTCTAAGGGGGGTCCGACTACGATATGGAAAAGATATGACATCTGAAAAACTACTGACCAGTCAACTAAAATCATAAATGTGGTAGCCAATCAGGTGTTATTTATCAAAATTCATGGGTGGGTTTTGATTGGTCAAAACTCTTCCTATACCATGTCTTTCCCGCATCATAGATTTTCCCATTCTAAGGAGTGCCAACTCAGAACTTGAACACCCTCAGGGCAAGTATGCACCATGTTAATCATTGAGAGTGCTTTACCATAAATATGTTTTCTACCACAAAAATACCTGTCTATGGTCATACATTTCTAGTTAAAAGACAGAGAGTTACAAACTAAAATACCAAAAAAAAAGTGGCAAAATAAATTGAACATGTAACGAATGCTTGTTGGCAACATCTTCATTCTAAAAATTTATGGAAAATATATACAAAAGGAGGAAAAAAAGGGAGTACTTACTTGATTTTCTAATATTCTTTTCACGCTTGCTGCACATCCTCCACAGGTCATTCCCTGCATTACCGAAAACAAATATGCATATATGAGCATATGATAGATAAACAAACTACGTATTAAATTACAACTCCAAAAATAAATAAATAAATAATAACAACTAGGGTTGGAAAATCAAATAAGATGAAAATGACTTACACCAACGTCAAGGATTATTACATCGGGAGACAAGGCCGAAACCTCTTCGGACCCTCCTGCAATGGATTTCGACTTTGTCTCTCCGCCGTTCGATCCGCCATCGCCGTCACCGCTACCACCTCCTTTCCCTCCATTAGAACCATCTCCCCCTCCACCGGAAATAAACAAAGCAGTGGAGTTCGACATACAGGCTATACGAGACGATATCGGAGCCGCCACAAGCAAATTCCTAGGCGAAGTTCCGGGCGGAGAGGCTGAAACGAACCCGCTTGATCTCTGAAAATCTCCATTATACATGCATCCGATCCTACCAGATAAGAGTCGCTTTTGAATGCTTTTATTCGGGGTTTGGGAGAAGCGACGGTGGAGGCTATAGACGACGAGGTTCCGAGAAGAGGTAAGGGTTTTGGATAAGGTGAAGAGAGTTGTTGAAGAAAGCGTAGACTCCATTGGAACTGCTTGTAAGGAGATGAATTTGGAAAGGAGTTCAGCCTGATCAATTTCTTTCTCAGCCTCGTTACGTCTCTCCGCCTTGCGATTGTAAACAATTTCTGGTTAAATTACTGTTGGACTTGGAAGCGGGAACCGGAACTGGTGACAAGTGATAACTGATAAATTGGGATTTTAAATTACTGAATAACCCCTCTTCTTACAAAAATAGATTGAACACACAGCAGACGATACGGGATCTGCTCCTCACAATTGGGCGCCTCACATGCACATCCACCGTGCGTTAAGAACATCTCCCGTGAATAATTGATAGGTACAGTAGATGTTTCCAATGCATGGTAGTATCTGCGTGGGAGAGATCCGGTCTCACAGCAGACGCGGAATCCCGGGTCTTCGGCCTTCGCCATCAACTACGACCATTGAGGCATTGACTCTTGAAGTTGTGAGCAAGAAGGCTGCAAACGGATCGAATCCAATCAGACTGGATCCAATGTTTATCCGTTTATGTTCGACCGTTTGAGTTTGACTCTGAAAACAGAAATGGGATCTACTTTCACCGAGCGCGCGTATAGAAGAAGATGTTTCCGATATACGGTAGACAGGCTGTGAGGTTAGTGTGAGGCGCGTTCAGTAAAGAGTAAATCCGGACTCCTGAAAACATGAGGTATCAATGGGTTGGGTCCGGTCCAGGACAGGCTGTACCAGTCCCGGTCCGATAATTAATCAGTTCCAATGCAGAACCGTCCCATATATTAATCGGGTCAAATGGGTCTAACGCGAGTAAACCCGATTATACTTGCAATCTATAAACTATTATGATATTTGGAAGTGTGGGCGTTTTTTGGGACCAATTTTTAAGAAAAAATGCCTATGCTTCCAAGACCCGTTTTTCACAAAAAAATGCTTATATCATGTAGGCAGTGAACAACACTATGCTGTTTTGATAAGGTGATTTTCATCACCGTTTTTCATGTATGTCAGTATGTGCTGACAGGTAAGCACCACATAGGATACACATCAATCAACTATTGAGGGAAACGGTTCACCGGTGCACCGATGCACTGGTGGGGGCCCGATTTTTTAGACATRTCCAATTTTTTAATAATCAGCTAAACCAAACAATAAGATAGGCGTTTGTTGAAACGTCTATGTAAATCCAACATGGCACCGTTTATGGTATATATCTATGTAAATCTATATAAAAATAAACACAAATAAACAAATTTAATACACTATAAAAAAACATATATAATTAACTCCAATCCCGGCTTAATTCCCAATAATTTTCATACTAAAAAGTGAAATTTTGCATATGCATACGCATATGTATATTAGTATATAGATTAATTGGATCTTACTTCTTAGCATGTCAAACCCAACAATATCCGACCGATCGATAAATGAATTACATTTTTCGGATGCAATTCAATCCATTCATGGTTAAATGGATATCCAAATCCGACAAATAATATGATATGAATTTAAACCAATAAATCTTATGCATTTCCCAAAACCGATATTAGCTTACTGCAAAAACAAAAAACAAAAAAATAAAAACAAAAATAAAAACAAAAACAAAACAAAAAAAAAAACAGAAAAAACAAAAGCAAAACTAGTGGTAGAAAAATCAATAAAAGACGAACAGCATGCTACCATTGACACCGTGCTAAAAAGCACTAAAGGACAAAATATAAAAAGGATATTTTAATCATAAAGCACAAAAGGACAGTACCCTGATTATATTGTACTTAATTTTTTGGTAAAAATATATTGTACTTAAAGCATCATAATATTTTTTGTTTTGGTAAAAACATCAAATTCGATTACAATAACAATATGATATGATACAAATTTAGATTCAATCCTCAAGACCGTGCTTATACTGTAATTACAATCACATGCAATCATGTTGGATGTGATGTAAATCATAACGAGATTTGTATATCCAACCATTGAGAATATTTTCATATTTGTACATTTTTATTCATAACGAGATTATTTCCAATGAACAGCTGCAAGTGACTAAGAGGACGGTGTGAATATGGTCTTTGTTTTGGCTTGAGGTATCAATCATGTCTTCCCATCAGTATAAATTTTTCCACTGGTCCACATGAAATTTATATTTTTTTTTGGTAAAAATAGAAATCTATACCTTGTGCTTAGGGAATAATGATGTTTTTACTCGTGATAGATTGCCCAACCTGTTGTGTATAATTTTACCTCCGGCTACTTTAGGTATATATTTGGCATCAATGTTATATATACAACACCATTTTCTGACAAAACGGTGCTGTATATGTGGATTGGAAGTATCGTTTCCTCAGAAAATGGTATTATTTTTTTTGTTTAGAAATGTTTCTACTAAGTAGGACGTTTTCTGGGACAACATCAATGTCTTCTATTTGGTACCAATGCTTCATATATATTTTCAGCATTGATACCCATTATAGGAAGTCCACGTCACTGTTACATTATGTTTTTATTGGCAGCAATGAACTCAAAATTGAGAAAACGTCAAATTCGACATTTCCCCACACCTTCTCAAATTCTAAGACGTGATTTGAAGTATCATATTTTATGAAAAAACAGTTTCAAACATGTTACCGTTTTCTGGAACACTGATTTTTCTAACATGACACTGATGTGTCATTGTTTTCTGGAGCAACGGCACGATGCTAATGTTGCATCTTGAATCAGATGTAGTCAAAATAATATTAGGAATCAGGCTGGTTGATTCTTTCACACCCGGATCGAGTAACTTGCAACCTGGTCCGACCTGAGAAACTCAATGAACCGGGTTGATCCAATAAACGCGAACTGATCTACAACTATCATACAGTCTCAAACAGGCCCCTATTTTTTTAGAAAAAAAAGGCCCCTGCTCCAATGGGTTGGTTCTCGACATTATGAATTGATTATGTTTGATTACATAATAAGCACACTACTCCTTCGTCCTTTCCCCTTTACATGTATTCATCCCATTATTTATAATTTAAATTCATTTGACGAGGGATGTATATAAGATATTTTGAGAAGAGAGAATCAAAGCAGTCTTGTGTCCAAGATTAAAAAATGTAAATCTATGCTATCTCAAATATAAACTATTAATATCACGTGCAAAGAGGTCCACTAGAAACCAGACAATATTCTGCATGCGTGCGTGTCTCATGCAATTATTTTAATTTTGGATAAGGCTAAGCCATATTTTATAAAGTGCATGTGGCTAAGCCAAATCTTGAAGAGGTCAAACCTGAGGCAGAAGCTCTCTAAATAAAATCATGTGACCACCAGTCACAAGGTCAGAAAAAGCAACTCACTAAAACCGGGATTGGATCTAAGTAGGTATAACATAATAAATACGTTCAGTGAGCACTTATATTCCAATAAATATCAACAAATGTTTTTAATCTTTGTCATGGTAGATTGGGGTATTTTAAGGGATAAGTGTCAAAAAAATTTTTAAGTATTCATTCATCATGCTTACAATGCTGTGTCTATTTGATCTAAATTGACTAAAAACGTTGAAGATACAGAACAAACACCCTCCTATAAGGCAATTCAGATCCCTTAAGGTCTTACCCACAAACTTTTTCAGAATTGAAAACATCGGAATGCGGGAAGAATTTGTGGGTAGGGGATTGAAATCAAGGCTGAATTAATTAAACAGATACCAATGGAGGAGAGTTGAGAAAGGAAACAAAAGAGTTACATGTCCTAGCCTGATCAGCCATTATATGCCCTGCTTGAACTAGCGTTCAACTCATGGTTTTTAAAACTCACCCGGTGACTGAACCGGTCAGGGGGTTCAGTTACTGGGTCAAACAGTCCGATCATTCAAACTGAACACTTGGCCCATTCTAACAAAAAAATAATTTTTTTTAAATAAAAAACAGTCAAAACCGTTAGAATGATTAATCACCTGATTCAACGATTTTCTGACCAAAATTAACGGTATTGGAAGAAACAGAACCTTATCAATTCCCAGTTTTTCCGGTCTGGCTGTCTGATTCGATCCGATTTTGAAAACCATGATTCAACTCATCATTTTGAGCTCTCTGCAAGAGGGGCCCGAGACAAACTGTCTCAAAGACTCGAAGCTTGATTCAACTCGATGTCTGGTTATCTACGGAAGATTCAAAACACATTAAAATAGAAATCATACATTCACTTCGGTACAGATAACAGATGGACAACATCATTTGAAGTTTTGAACGATTTGTTTCTTTATATTTGAGTCCTTAACCCAATCTAGTGATTTGGCCTATTCCCATCTTGACATTGGAGAGATCATGTTGCAACAGGCCCCTGAATAAAAGAAATGCAGCATCTAGTGCCCAACAACTTGAAAAAATAAACGTCCATGAAAACGAAATATGGGGCATGTTTTAGAAGAACAGCTTTCTGATTCAGAACCCAACATTTCTAGAACCTGGAGCAGTTCTTTTATTCTAGCTTCTCCATCAATTTCAAGCAGTTTGAAATGCGACTTACAGATAAAATTCATGGATAGGGAGGAGGAAGAAGACGAGATCGGATCTGTTCCTCACAAAGGGTGCCTCACACCGACCTCACAGGTATATCTCATCATGTATCGAAAATATCTTCCCTACCTATGTATGATTATTTACGGAAGATGTTCCCAATACACAGTGAGATGTGTCTTTTATTGAGATGGACAAAAGGTAAAARCCTGAGTTTCAACGGCCTCAGACTACCCAAAGTCTCAACCCCCCAATTCTAACCCGAGTCCAGGTCAAGCCTGAGTTTCAGATCCAGAGCTATCCCATAGCCCAAAAATCAAGCCCAATTTGTACTAAAACTTGGGTTGGGCCTTCTCAGAATGCAACCATTCAGGAGATTGTGTTAATCGATCCTATCTTTTTTTCGTGAGAATTTACCTGATACGCCTTATCTTTCAAATTTACAAACACATGTATTAATCACATTCATTCAATAAGTTTATGAAATAAGGTAATGAATATAGCTAGGAATATCTTTAGGCTTTTTCACCAGGATGTCTTTCGATCATCAACTACTTCGGGATGGGCTGGATGTATCGGTGTTTTTATTTCTTTTTTTTTAGAATAATATGATCTTGTGTTTTTCTTCTCTTTTTCCAATAAAAAATAAACAAGAAGAAGAAAAGAAAAACACA